CTAGACAATTACTGATAGCCCATATTAAGAAATAACCGAATAGACAATCCCCACTTGTCAAAGAAACTAAAAAAAAACGTAAAGTGGTCAGTATTTACAGTCCTGAAGGAATATGTGTGACCAAGTGCAGAGATAAACAAGACATAATTACTATTTAAATGGGAATAAGCCACAATTAAAGGTTAAAGTACGTTATTGGCATTTCAATTTCCAATTCGGAAACCGTTCTCAAAATACAAACGTATTTTCGTATTTTGCCGAAAAACCCTCAATTATTTTGCAGTAATTTTATACATTGTAATAACTTCGTTTGTACATATTGACATTTAATATAATTTAAATTGGGGCAGTTAATAAGTTATTAAAGTGTGGTATATTTCACATAGATCACAAGTTATCCAATTTGTTTATCCCAAAGAGCGATTATCTAAACGACTGTACTTGCCACAGATAGTCACTCTGTACTCTGTATACACACGTGTATTCTGTAAATCGAACTCGCTTTTATAAGGGTTCATTTTCTCAACGGAAAAATTTAGTAAGATATGTCAAAATAGCACAATTCTTATTATTTGGTTGAGCTACCCTAGTAAAGAAATGGAGGTTCCACGTGCCACAGAAGCCGAGATATTCAATATTTTGCAAGCGTGCTTCAATTTAAAGTCCGAATCTAAAAAAAAACAAGCTCAGACAGTTCCTACCTCCGTGGTACTTTTCCGTGGCGGTAATTTACGAATACCATTATTTTAATGGGTTATAACATTTTACTCCTTTATCTGTGTATGCCATCTATAACTTCAATCATATATTATAGATCTTAACTCAAAATCCTTTCAATTTTTAGATCTTAGCATTAATAAACAATGAAATATGATTTTAAGAATTAAATGCTATCTTTGGACAAGTACAAAGTGATTTGCTTAATATTTAGCACACCTTAAAAACCATTAATTGCCATAATTTGAAAGTAGCTATATTATCTGCAGTTGGGTAAAAAATTAAATTATTAACATTTGGACGACTTTCTGCAGAAAGGAACCAACCCACAAATAGCTCATGCTGAGAAAATAGAAGTTAAAGTTTCTGCGACAAAAAAAAATTGTAACTCATTTAAATTTATTTGACGAAAGTTCCTAAGTGAGTTAATACATTAGAATTTATGTTTCTTTAAAATGTTATTGTTAAAAAGATAGTACAGCTATGCATATATGTATAAAAGTGGGTTGGTTCCTTTCTGTATTTTAAAAAATTAACTCTTAGAAAAGTTTTATTGAAATTATTACATTTAAATACAACAATACTAGTATATTAAAAATATAATTGTTAATGCAAAGCTAAAATACAAAAATATTATTACCAAAAACGGCTGATATGTCATGGTTTCATCTTCAAGGTCATTAAGTTCATCAGGACGGCCACTAAATCCCTCAATATCATAAATAATTTCAGAGTCCCCAGTTAAACGTTTGTAATATTCTTGAGCATCACCATGTATTAAATGCATGACAGATTTTATGTCTTCTAATTTTGGAAGAGAAATAGGCTTCCCGTTAGGCCACATTTTTGTAAGTAAATGGCTGAAATTATTGGTTACTGCTGGCCTTCCATGTTTCTTACCGATGTAAACTTCAGAATACTTTTCATCTGCAAAGCTTGTTTTCATGAAAATATAAAATGGTTTTGATTTATCTAGAATTATCTCTCTTGTTTTTGAACCAATTAACTTTGTGTTTGTTTATGTCAACTTTTCTGTTACAGATTTGTTTTTCTGCTTCTATTGTACCAAAAAATCAGAAGAAGTCATTCTAATGACATCAAATTTGTTTCTATTTCTGCAATTTTTCATTACAGTTATGTAATCTTCGGGCAGGTATAAACCTTTGTTGATGTTTTGAGTGCAGACTCTATGTCTGAAAAATTGGCATCGTTTGGTAAGAAACTATGCCCTGATATTAGGAACCGGATATAGATCTTATTAAGTGACGCATCAGTTTTAAGTGCAGCTTTCATGATTAGAGTTAATTTTATATTTCTATTTTGGCCCCCACACGAATCAGACCATTAAAATTAGTTTCATCTACGTCGTTAGATACATGATTTTTTATATATTTTAAAAGACATGATCCTACCTCTTGGGAACCACGACCGGCTTCATTTTCCATCCATAACATTGCACGATCCCTTTTTGCTCTTTCCAGAGTAAATACCTAAGTTGTACAGCCAAATTTGCCTTTTATAAAATAAAATTCCAGTTGGTAGGCGTGGAAGGGGCAAAGTCTTTTCCAAATCAAATGTTAAACATTCTACTTTTTTATTGTTAGTAGCAGCATCTAAATCTTGTTTCATTTTTGCTCTGGCTTCTTGCCAATTTTTGATATGAGTATCATGTTCATTTACTAACATTACTTTTTACTTCATTATCTTGAGTGCTATCTATTTTTGCCTGATAAGAATCGCAGGTGTTACAGGTGTCTTTTTTGAGACTCTTAAATTTTAAATTAAACTCGGTCATGAAGATACGTCTGTACACGACAAAGCTAACAGGATTATTAGTATCTTCTTTGTATTTATTATACATTAGTTTTAGTGTCATTTCCGGGGCAAAAATTGTGCATCACCACACTGCAATCTGCGATAATGGCTTACATATTTTGGAATCCTGTCAATTTGATTAATTATTTCTTGTTTTCGTTCTTGTGAAATTTTATTTTTTCCACCCTGTTTTTGTCCTCTGTTGTCTGTCAAATGTAGAGGATCTAAGTTTTTTCATTGCAGTATCACACGCTTAGTAGAAATTCCCAAAGTATTAATAAGTAAGTTGCGACATACCTGTATTTTTATTTAACATGTAGTTCCTTGAATATGTACGATTGGAATTTGTCTCACCGTAACTTCGTTTTTTATTGCTTTCATGAAACCAATGCACCAATGAAGGCTGTTTGAGAATTGTAATCTCCCAACTCCCAATACCTGTTAAAATTGTTCTTCTCTATCATTGGTCGGTACTTTCACGTAGCAATTCATTTTACAAGAGCAATTAAAATCTTTGAATTCTTTTTTCTCAACAGTTTTGCCTTTGTAGTTATAATGAACATTTTCTAAATTTCTCTGACGCTTATTTTCTTCTCTTGTTAAACCCAGATATTTTCGTTTTCGTCCTTCTTTGGCCTACCTGTATTGACTGGAGTAGAGTGTATTACCTGTTCTAGCATTTCTTCTTTGATTTCCAAAGCTACATCACCTTCCTGAGAATGTTCTTCATTATGTCTTATATTAGATTGATATTCATTCTCTAATCTGAATTCTGGATCTACGTCGGAATCATAGCCATCATACTCATTATCTTGATCATTGTTTGAAGATTCCATCTAATTTAAAAAGAAAAAAAGTCAATTAAATGCTAATATAAATAGTCGTGGCAAAACTAACCTCATTTTCTGCTTTTGAAACATTAAAGCCAAATTTAGTATATATTGTCCTCTGGAAGATCTATAACTCATTGTTTAAGAAATGTATTACCACCCAATAGTTAGCATGACGCCATGTTACCTATCCAACGGTAACTTAAACATCACAAATTATAACTATTAATAATGTAAAACAACTACATTTAAAGGGTTTTGACCCATATATTTTGGTGGCTACTAGCATGTACAACCGTTTGCATGATGATGGATTTATCAATCCGAAAACGTTTTGCAATGTGTTTGTGATAGCCCGTTTGGGGCATTTTTTATATACCTTTTATAAAGGATTTTAAACAATTTTTTGTGATATATGGTATACAGCCAGCTACAGGAACTTAGTTTCCTATTGAAATTCAATAATCTTTGTTTCAGAGGAATTTCAAATACTTCTCTTCAAAATTTATTGAGCAAATCGTTGCTGAAAAAATTAAAGTTTATATATATATATATATATATATATATATATATATATATAATATATATATATATATATATATATATATATATATATATGTAAATTACTACCAATGCTGCGTCCTTTTACTATAAGGTTATTTTTGCGTCCACTATAATACGTGCAGTATAATTAAATTTTATTGAATATAGTCGCTACTTAACTGATGAACAACACAGTGCGCTGTTTTTTTATCATAATTAAAACAACAATTAAAAAAATATGTAAAGTGTAAATAGGCGTCTTTCAATAACTCAGCTATTGTTGCGTCCGGAATTATACACTTTCAGAGTTGCGTTTTATTGCGGCATCCGTTTTTTTTTATCGTAACGACTTTGCTACGTCCGCGGTGTTGCCAATGTTTTCTTCACTTTGTGTTTCAATTATTTTAATGATTGTTTGTTCTCGTTCTTCTGTTTTGCACTGCGACTGCTTCAGTCAGATCTAGGGAGGAAATATTACTTTTTTAAGATATTCAAATTATCAAGCAATAATAACTAATAATTATTGGTTGCTGTGCGAATTGCTTAGTTCTGAATCAGATTGATAAATTCTTCAGGTAGTTTCATACTATAAAATCAGTACTTTAAATTACTAAATAACTAAGTTAAATGACTTATATTGCTATTTAAGGTTTGTTACAGAAATTTTGAAATTTTATTGCCTCACTCAACTTTCTATTTTGATAAAATTTTATGTAAAATATTAGGATGCGTTCTCAACTAAAAGAACAAAAGTTTTTTGTTTTTTGTCATACTATTGTAAATGTTTATTTACAATAGTATGAGAATCTATTTGGGGACTTATTATTATAACAAAAGATATGTATGGAATCTAATTAAATAAGACAAACATGTACAACAAAATTATTTTATTTAGTTTATTATTTTTTTTATAAATATTTTGTATAAAAGCTTTAATTTGTGGCCACGTTTTTATTGTCAAAAATAGTGGTATATTTGGCCTACAGTTCTTCTACTTCCTTCTTCTTCGGGGGAAGTTTGTTTTTAATATGCGATGCAAAAAATGATTGGGCAATTTTTTTTTGCTCGGCTGTCCAAGGAACCAAAATTTGCCTTTTATTTGTTGTCTGTGATAGTAGATGGTTCTAACACTGGTGCGGTTTGTACCAATTCATCTTCTACCCCATTTTCGTTGTCCCAATCGTCAAGTTCGGGAACTATTTCCTCATCCAAATTAATTTTAATGTCATCCAACGCTTTACCTTTAAATTCTGCAGCTTCTCCTTTTTCCATCAATAGAAGCAACTTAGAAATTTTGGCAGTTTGATAGATATCGTCAGGTAACCGATAAACTTGTTTGTGAACATCACCCGTATGACCCATAAAAGATGCCAATTGTTCTATATCGTTGGAAGACATATTAAATACTTGGGTCATTGTTGCCAAATGTTTACGAAGCTTAGTTGAAGTAATTGCTTCTGGATTTTTAAGCCACTTGCGGCTACATGTTTCTGCAATATTTGATACCCTGTGATTGGGTTATTTCTTTTTAATTTAGGGAATAAGTAGATATTGGTGTTATCTACAAAATTCTTTCTTAATTTAATGAGTGCATCAGTATGCTGCTGCAGATCAGGACTAAAAAGCACCGGTACTCCACGACCACGTTTTCCACGAATGACTACTCTTTTAAATTTTGTGAGCAACAGTTTTTCAGCAGGATTAATCGCATCACTAAATTCTTCACAACTATTATGGACAGCAGCATTCTGATAAACATAAAAAGCATTCTTTGTAATTTACCAACCCGTTTACGGTTTAGAAGAAGTAGTCGACAGTATATAGTTTTCATTATTAATTTGTAGGCGCTTACATCAATTTCATCTTTTTCGTGAGATTTAAGACTTTCCGATGCTGTTCGTAAAAGATGTTCTCTAAAGGTTTTTAAATCAGCTGCTAATGGCAAAATAGTAATTTTATTCCATTTTTTAGAATTTAGATCAGCTGCTGCTAAGGTAGAAATTTCAAATCTCCATGCGTCCTCCAGAAGTTGTTTAAAAGTTTTAAAATTTGCTTCAACTTCCGCCACTGAAACAGATAAATTTTGACAATTTCTTTTTAATGTACATAAAATTGATATGTCACAACATTGCTTAAGTGATGTTTGAATATTCATAGCGTAAGTTGGGGATTTGAAAATTTCTCCTACCGGGTCATACTTAGCGACAATTTTAGTTGCCTGAACAAATAAGTCAAAATATATAGGTTGGATAGCATCATATAAGTTTTTTATCGATGGTTGCAATCTCTGTATCTCGATGAATAGTTTTGCAAGTTCACGTATTTTTCTAGAACACACATTTATAAGATGTTTTTCTCTATGGTTTTTGAGGTAGCGAGCTCCAAATTTGCAAATCAGATGATCTTTTTTTTTTCAATTAAAGAAATATCTGCCTGCATTCTCGGAAATACAGTATCTCTAAGTTGCTTGTCAACCGGTAAATATTTTGTTAAAAGGTCCTGTGCGTCGGCTAAATGGGAATATTTAGTTTTTCCACCAAAGTTTTGAATGCAGTTTTTAATATGTCTCCATAGTTGTTTAGGTTTCACTAACACTAGAGTCACTAACACTAGAGTAAAAATCAATAACTTTGGAATTCAAACCACGCACATTCTAATAGCAAACCTGAAGATCTTGGCTTGTGGAACTGTTGGGTCCTATCTGTTTAAAGGAACAATTTTTGGGATGCCATCCAAGTATTTAATTCTAAATTGGCTTGTATTATTAGCGTTCTTAGCTTCTAATTCTTCCTTTAATTGTTTGTAGTATGCAATTTCTTTTTTCGTACGGTCATATGAAATGGACACATGGCTGTAAATACCAGTTTTTAGAACCTTGGATTGTCTGATTAATGCTGAGACGTCATTTTCATCTTTAAGTATAATCTTGATCGGACGATTTTTACCTTGTGCTGGTTGTCCAAGCCTAAATATTTTTGAGTTCATTTACATTTGCGCCAGTATTCATACTTTGAATTATTGTTTGGACTTTTTGTGTTTATCATTATCATTGCGACTATTGCGAGTGAGCGGAGTATTTTGCTCAGGTACACCAAATAAAATAGCATGGCGTTTGCGTTTTCTACGCTCATTTATTTTCTGAATAACTTCTTCCATAACCAACATGGTTGAGGAACTCTTCATTGATTGGTTTTCATTTTTAAGTGCTTGAATATCAGTTTTTAAAGTTAGAATTAATGCTTTCAGATCTTAAATTTGGTTCCCAACCTGTCTACAACTCATGCAAGACCAATCGAATCCTTTATCGTTATCATTAAATAATTCCAGTTCTACATTACTTACATTCACACAGGTATGTCTAAAAATTCTATTGCAAACGGAACATTTTATCATTAAATTCGATTTATACGAGTTATCCTACTACAGCAGGAACAAATCATATTCGAAGTCGAAGGCATGATAAAAACCGTTGAAGATACGCCTATGTATTTATACAGTAATTAAGAATTCTCGCTGTTGTTATTATTATCTTAATTGGTGTTATAATTGTAGGTTAGGACGTACAAATACTAAAAATTGCGTAAAAAGTCTATCAAAAACTACTTTTAGGAAGATAAATTTCTTACTGTTTATGTCCGTATATCTAACTGCAAATATTTATGTAGCTTCACAATCACTTTCACCTCATTACACGAGTTTTAAAAAAAAATGATAACAGTACCTTGAAAACACCTTCGCACTGGTCGGCTTCTAATGACTTAATGCTTTCATGATGTAATGTATCATTCATAAATGCTGTAAATAAATGAATGATGTAAAGCATCATTCATAATAATAAACTAAAGTTAAGATATAATATAACACCGAGATCAGTTGGCGATAGCAACTAAGGTCCCAAGAATATGTCTGTAAATATTGCAGTAAGGTTATGAATATGTTAAACTAATAAAATGATAAAGGTTATAAGAGTATGATAATAAAGGTATAAATATAGAGGAATGTTATCTGAGCCTATTCCGGCGTATCGGGGAACATAGCGGAAGATCTGCATTGCCTCTTCTGCATTCCTGGGCAGTTGCGCGCCTAACCTTCATTCCGCAGCTCCCCCTTGTGGTCTCAATGCAAGAGCAAAACATTAATTAATAGAACGTTTATTTAATTAACTGACAAAGTAATACTGTATACAAATAATCTGAGAGACGAAACTCCATGGTACTTTTGGTAGAAAATGGTTTTCCTATTATATCGACGGACTCCCATGCGCCATTGTAAGTAACCCTATAATATACCAGCCTTGGATGCTGCACTGATATTTTCAGTTCTCTTATTGGTCTAGATGGAAACGGACACTTCTGTTTATATAGCGGATTTAAATGTTTATCCCAAGATCGAAAATATTTTGAGGCACTTCTTCAACGTCAAAGGGTTGAGGTTTTTACACGAGATGCTCTTATGGCCTCGAACCAATCACTTGGGTGTTCTGTTCTTGTTTTTTGGTTAACTATACCAAAATCCTTATCGCACTCTAAGTACGAATGTCCCCGAATCGGAAATGTTATAAGAACATCTTCAAGCCTTTTTTCATAGTGAATCACATGATGCAGAAAGCGGAACATAGTATAATTTTTATTTTGCCCTCCACATGAATCTGCAAATAGTTTTAAACTTTTCACGTTAGCGGGTAAATAGTTATAGAGAAAATGATGAAGCAGTGAGCATACGTTATTACTTCCTTTTTGGCCCACGGTTTCTGATAGCCATAAAATACACTCTGTTATGATGATAACACGTGTACTTTAAATAGGTATAATGAGAGTTGTCTGCTATAATAAACGTCGTTGGTGGATATATTAGGGATTGGCAAATTCTTGGCAAAGTCTATACAGATAGCTTCAACTGCGACATCTGCTCTTGAAGATAATTTGGCCTGTCTTTTTCTCTGGTAAAATGTCTCAGCTTTAGTTAAATGAAGTTGTCTATCGAATTCAAGCCTCCGAAATTGTACATTTAAACTATTTAGTTCGTTGTCTTCTGTAGATATTTTTATTTTGCACTGTAGCGTCTTTAACAGGCATTTCGTCACATTGCGAACAAGTATCGGAGCGTGGATATCCGAAACTTATGTTGTACTTTTCATTAAATACTTTTTTGTACGAATCGTAGGATATATTTGTATGTGGAAACTTTTTCTTAAACATAGAGTACATTTTGGTCATGTTTAGTTCTTCAGGTAGATATGTTTTAGAAGTTTTTGAATTGCTATAATGGCTTGATCTGCCTTTAAAAGAGGATATGTGTTTACACACGTCGTCAATTACAGAGTTTGGAAGTTTGTGTGGCCTAGTTTTATGTAAACCTCTTTTATCTTTTGTTGAGCTACCAGAACACTTAAGTGACCTTTGAATAGATTGTACCCGCCGACCAGAAATTCCATGAAATACGAGAAAAGCTTTGTAGCAGACCTGGATGTCTAACAGTGTTTGGTCGTTACTTGCATCAGTACACCTTACTCTGAATGAATATGAGGCGTCATTGAATTTTTTTACGCCAGACTCTGGATTTTTTTGCACGACGTCTCTTTACGGGTACAACAGTAATCAAGCCAGCAAGATACGTGTTTTGTTCGTCATATGTAGAATAATTATTGTTAAAATCTCTTAATATTCGCAACTTATTTTCATCCGAGATATTTACGAAACAATTTAAACGCTTACATTTGCAGTCAGGGCCTAGTTCATGGCTACATAACCTCAGTTTCTTAACAACGTCAGTCATTCTTCCGTACGATTTTCGTTTTTTGGGTTTTTCTTCCATTTCACCGTGATACCGAACCTAAATAATTATTCCCTATAATTTTCACACAAAACTTAATGTTCTAGTCTAACTTTTTGGCACAATCACTTGTACCGTTCAGATAAGTCTTTCTGTGAATCTAATAACAAACCACACTTCATAAACATCCAAAGTTTGCTGACGCGATGACTAATATACTGCCGGCAATTACGGGAATATTGGAACCTCATCATTTTTCGCGCTTACGCTAGGAACCTTATCGTTATTTCCCCACAGAGGGTTTCTTTTTCAGTAGATATCTCGTGAGTCTAAGCATTTGAAGCGTTTATTTGAAAAACAACACTTGTCCAAAAATTAAAATTTTGGTAAATCAAGAAAAACTGCCTAGCTTCAATTTATTTCAAATCTTACCTTTACTAAGATATTCATTGGAAGGAATGTGGCTATCAAAATAATTGTACAAGTTGATTTCATAATTTTATTGATATTTTAAACAAAAATCGGTAGAAACTTAGCAAAATATATTGGAAAATGAACATAATATATAATATCCCCGTAGAAATAACAAAAAATTCTATGATGTCTATTCGCTACCACTGCTATTATCATCACTAAATAGTTCTACGACTGGAGTATTGTCCTCGGTTTCCCCTGATTCTGGTTCTAGATTAAGATAAAATTCTTTATTAAGAGGGTTCTTGAGATATTTAGTTAACTCCATTAGATCGCGAAACTTTGGTTGACTTATTTTCTTTTTCGCGTTATTTGGTATCAGAGTTATTTGTTTTGGTGTTGTTTTTTTCAGTAATGGTGTGGAACGTCCATGGGCCGTGATAAGTTTGACGTAATAAAACTTGTCCAGGATACTTCTCAGATATTCGGTACATTCTTGCTGGTTTCAATGAAATTTTTGGTTTTGGATTCTTTAAAAATAAATCCTTAAAACTTTCGTCCATTCTTCTGGAACATCAACAACTACTTTTTTTGCACGAGAAATGAGACTAAAGTCACTATCGCACGGTAGGTATGAATGTCCTCGTATTGGGTATACGTGTGTTATCTCTGATGCTAATTTCAATACGTGCACCAGGATATATGAAAAGCGGATAAAGATATAGTTTTTGTTCTGACCCGGGCAACCATCAGATAAAAACCATATTTCATCCATTTTAGCGAGTATATGATCTTTTAGATAATGAAATACCATGGAAGTTACTTCATTTTGACCACGTTTAGCCATTCCTTCGTGATAGGTATACATATGGACATCATTG